ACTTTTCCATGTTTTTAACCATCTGAGTTCCCCAACCTCACAGTCATTTGTCCTTGAACAGATGACAGGGGATGAGCTCCCTGCTATAACTAAGGGAGGGCAGCACTTCTTGGGAAGGCATCAGTATACAGTTAATTTCCTCATTTTGGTAGCTTCAGTCACAAATCAGAAATTTTCCTATATGCCAACAGAGGTGTGGGTTTTTTTAAAATAGAAATTCTCATCAAGCATACAAACTTGAACCACTGGTATGTTGAAATTTGGAGGGTGAAGGAGGTCTGAATTTTACTGATGCTTTCTTCAGGTCCTACCACCAAGGCCCAGACAGATTTGGACAAATTCTTCTTGATATGAGAACAATTGTGCAGGAGTCAGGGGCTTCTTCTGCAGATTCAACTGTTTACAAAATGCAAGACATTCCAGAAACCGGACAGATCATCAAATGAAAGGTATGATGAGTTTATGGGAAGACTCCACCCTTCATCACCAAGTCATGTGGATGCTCTTTTGTCTGAAACTAATTATGAAAATGGCTGTCATCATAGCAAAGACCCATGGACTGGATGACTGGCTGATTGGGATTTTTCTGGAAGAGCTAAGTTGTTTCTGACTGAAATGTGTTGAAATTTGTGGGACAAGTGCAGACCCAGGAAACCCTCATTGTGCATCTTGAACATTCAGCGAATTAAAAGCAGGCAGAATGTTTCTAAAGTACATGTGAAAATAACACATGTCAATAGCTTATAACTTAGTCAAATTTGGATTGATTTCCTTAGGCACAGCAAAAAGCACCTTCCTAACCTTAGGACTATCCCTCTGACAAATTTCACCTTTTGGGGGCTGTTCAAATCTTTAAAGCAGACTTGAAGCTATACTAAAAGTATGTTGGGCTGGCACAGAACCATCTTCAGGCACAAATAGTTGTAACCAACTTATTTACAGCCCCAATGTTCACCAAGTACAGGGGAAAATTAAGGTGATTTTGTGTACTTGGTGAAAAGTTCTATTTTCTTTTCAAATGCGGGGGGTGGGTGAGGGTAGAGTCACATCTAACAGACTAATCCAGAGACTAATGTGACTAACTACCTACCTCTCTCTCAAATGCAGGGCATGAAATTCTGTTCTCAGTTCCTCGTTATACACTCTGGGTACTTCTACTGTTTGTTAGACAGTCACTCCAGATTTACATCTAGGTAACTGGGAGCAGAATTCAGCCACAAAACTTCATGAATTGTTTGTATTTGTCTGGCAGCAAATAGTCTAAAACTATACTGACCAAAATCGCAGGAACAAACATCTTTTATTAACACACGTTTAACAGGTCTTTAAATATTCATAGGAAACGTACATTATTGTTATTTGGCACTGGCATGTTAGACCTTTAAAAATGCATGGAATTGGTTACTGCTACCATACTGATGTAAATGAAAAAATATTTTAAATAACTATTAAAATTCTCTTCAGCATCTTTCTTGCATTAAAAGCTCCTTATCTTGGTATTAAAGCATTTTATTTTCAGACACAACAGATTTTTATGGTGGTATTTGCTGACTTTCCTACCATCTTTTTTCCAATTCTCCACTACCTCAGTGCAGAAATCTGTTATAAATTAGTAATCTGTACCTGGTGTAAAGTAACTATTAACTTCAAATGTGTTATGCTGACTTCCATTACTTGCAAATCAGGCCAACAACATGCACACATACATGCACGCATACATACATTATTTAATACGTATGTAGGATCTTTATATGGATATTCTATGTTTTGGTTAAACAAGAGAGACGTGTATTAGTAGTGTAAAATTTAAATATGGGCATAGGGACACATTTATATTTAATCTGGGTAAGAGATATTGGAAGTTTCTGGTATCAAAACTGCACTTTAAAGAGACAAAGGATGCTGGCTAGAAGGACTAGGAATTAACTGTGGTTCTGGCAACAAGCTGTCAGTGTAGGTGGTTTTATAAGCAACATGTTGAAGCCTTGACAGAAATACTACTTATGCCCAATGACAGTCATTCAGTCTTTGTCAACTGAATTGAACATCCTTTCAGAGATGGCAGCCCTCTGCAATGACACCAGAAATACAGGGCCTTCTTTCACCATTTCAGAAGTGAACACTACATTAGTAAATTACAAGACAGAAGTTGTTGAATAGTGTGTGTTCCTTACCAGTATCAAAACAAATGGGGAAAAAAACCATGGAAATGAAGACCATGCTCCCTGAGGAAATGGAGTTTATAACTGCACTACAAAAATAGTACTTTTTGAGTTGAAAGATGAAAAGTAACACAACTAGTAAAAGAGGAACATGAATCTCAAATCTTAGTCCAAGGCCAGTAGTGGCAAATCATTCTACCATTTTTTGATAATGTTTAAAATCATTCATTTTGGCCATATCACAATACTCTTATGATCAATATCTGCACATATTTCAATCAAGGTTTACAGGGATTATTCAAGTCCTATGCACTTGAGTTTGACTTCAGTGGACCATGCATTGTGTGCATGCTAATGAATGTCCCCTCCCCCCCCCCCCCCCGCAAAAAATGTACAAGTTACACATGCAGGTATGTTCAGATACTAAATTGTTTATGCATGTGGCTGCCAGATGTGCTCATGTACTCATCTGATCTCATTTACAGAAAAAATAAAACCATGTGATTGATCTGAATAATTCTATTTAACCCATACATTTTAGTTAAGGCTGAAATTATACATTACACTTAGGCCATATTAAACAGGGCTGTGCAAAGTTTCAGTAGCCTATTCGATTCAAAGAATTCGCCTGATTTGGGGACTGAATCTCTGAATCTGGATCAAATCGGGAAACCAATTAAAAGCTCTGAATCGATTTGAAGCATCCAAATTGATTAAAAAAAGATTTGGAAAAGATTCGGTGATTCGACCATGGACTAAATAGGCAGCTGACACAGTTGCCGCTAGCTGGTAAATCTGTTGGGGTTGGGGGACGGAAGGAGCAGGGTGGAGGGAGGGATTGGGGCTGGGGCCAGAACAAGCTGCCCAGCCAGGGCGGGGGGGGGGGGGAGACGTGTAGGATGTGGGCGCAGCAGTGCTTCGAGTGGGGGGATTTGCCCTGCTGCCACTTGCCCAGCCAGGGTGAAGGGGGCAAGATGCAGGCATGGCTTGCTCTGGGCAGAAGGGGCAAGTGGCAGCAAGGCATAGCCCCCGCTCCCTGCTCTGCCACGCACCCCCCCCTTCCATGCTGGCTGGCAAGTGGCGGCACCACCCACACCCCCGTGTTGCCTGGCAAGTGACAGCAGTGCAGAGTCCCCACTCCCAGCATTGATGTGGACATGGCAGCATTGGGGGTGGGGGCTATGCCCTGCTGCTGCTTGCCCAGCCATCGCGGGAGGGGGAGAGGGGGCACGATGCAGGCACAGCTCGCTCCAGGCGGAAGGGGGGAAATGGCAGCAGGGCATAGCCCCTGCTCCCAGCACTGGCAGGCCCGCATCAGCACTGGAAGCAGGGGCTCTGCCCTACCGCCACTTGCCAGCTGGTGTGGGGGGCTGGCTGACAAGCTGCAGCAAATAATTATCTACAGTGAATTATATGCTCAAGTTCAAATAAAAAAAGTCTCCAAATCATATATTAATTAAAACATGATTTTTTCTGAATTTGATACAGGGAAAGGAATGGAAATAACAATGGATCCTCAGCTGGTGAAAGCTAATGGTACACTAATTACTTATGACTCACTTTAAATACCAGATCCCCATTTTTGATCGCTTACAATTGTAAAATCAGGGATCATTACACTGAAAGCCAGTGCAGGTGAGAAGAGAATCAGGGCCAATATGTTGGAATTTTATTCTTGTACAGGCAGTCCTCAGACACAGTTGGTTCCTGAAATGTCTGACCTCAGCCAGTACAAGCATCTGCCTGCCTCCCCTCACTGAAGGGTGAACATATACCTCCCAATCCAATCCATGCAGCTGAGAGAAACCCATGTAGATAGGATCTAATCTGCCTCAGTCTTTTTGAATTTCTGTACTTAGCCAAAATGTAAGTGGGTGGGTTTACAGAACATAGAACAATTAATGGGAGAAGTGGTGGATGTGGCAAGAGATTGGAAATGGTAAAAGCCTTTTTCAAACAGAGTATTGGTTTTACTAGGGATATGGCACAGCCCCATGCAGGGCAGAGCTATCTGGGTCAGTTCAGGTAGTAGAAACTGTATAGTCCTATTAGTGGAAAGCTCTGTGCAAATGAAATTATCTACTGAGAATTAGTTTGGATGGACTCTGAGTTTAAATGCCCATAGTGTTTCTAGTACCAGTGCTAGCTTGGGTATCTCTACCTAGCATTGTGCTGTGTCATGTAGAAATACTGTAAAGTCAGTACCAAAAATCCTACTCAGATGGCATCAGCCAAGTGATAACAAAACAAGTAACATTCTCATTTACACTACAAGAAGACTCTTATATGTTTTTATTATATGTTTATACTACAAGAAGACTCTACTTACTGAACTAAAGGTGGGGTTGAAAGAGAATGGAGATAGACTGTTCTCAATGGTGGCAGATGACAGAACAAGAAGCAATGGACTCAAGTTACAGCAAGGGAAGTTTAGGTTAGGTATTAGAAAGAATTTTCTCACTAGAAGTCTAGTAAAACACTGGAACCGGTTACCAGAGAGGTTGTGGAATCTCCATCCTTGGAAGTTTTTAAGACCCGGCTAGACAAAGCCTTGGCTGGGATGATCTAGTTGGGAATGGTCCTGCTTTGAGCAGGGGGTTGGACTAGATGACCTTTTGAGGTTCCTTCCAACTATAATTTTCTATTATTCTATAATTACTGTAGCTCAGCTCTCAGGGAAAATATTCTAATACTATAAAGCTAGTAAAACTTGATACAAAAAAAGAAAAGAAATCATGTTTGGTAGCAGGTGAGCCATTAGACAAATACCCATTAATGTTCTCTCTTAATGGATGTTTAACTAAGTAGGATTGAACTGTACATTTTTAGGCCACTTACTGTCCTCTGCTGTAATCATAGGGACCCAGTCACTATATGTATTGCCATAACCATTGGATACATTCAACCTCATTTCATACACAGTGTATGGCTGAAGATCTCTGACTATGTAGCTTAGAGAAGCAGTAGGATTGGAAAGCAACCTGTAAAGAAAAGAAGTCAAAGTTATAAAGATACAAAATTCAAAAGGTGAACAGGAGGGAATAAGACTGAAGCATTAAATGTTTTACAAATGGACAAGTTCCACATGTCTAAGATAATTTTACTACTCATCACTGACACTTTACAGTAAATATTTATTATTTGCATACTCAAGGATTTCATCCGTAGAATGCTTAGGCCTCATCTGGAGTTGGTAACTGGGCAAGCCTGGAGCATTATTGCGAACTGGTGTAGACCAGACAACCTGAAGACTGGTCGGAGTGGCAGATGAAAGCCTTGGAGGCAGCACGCCATCTGGAGCTGTCGAAAAACATGGATGAATTAGAGCAGAGAAAACTGTGGAGAACATATGCTGGATGGAATCGAAATGCTCCATATACTGGAAAAACTGTTCCTCAGGATCAACAGCAATGTTAACATGGTCCATTTAATTTAACATTTTCATTACTGAACTACTGTACTTCTTTATGTTCTTCCTTCCAATACAATTACTATCACTGGGCTAAAAGCTCCTCCAAAACTAAAAGGAATTCAGACACAACATACTCCTTACCACCTGTTCATATATTATCTACCTCTCTTTCTGCACCTGATTCTAGCACCTTTGTGCACCTAGGAGTCAAAAGAACTACTCATAAGGAAAGGAAGCAAAGTCCCTTCTTCCTGCAACATTTTTGTCATTAAAACTCAACACAAAAATGTAATGAAACACTTATTACATATCAATCCTTGTAGATGGATTGAAATTTGAGGACCTGGATATTTCTTCCTTTTGCCCCCTCTTTTCTTTTACTTATCAGGTCCAGGATTGTAATCGCCTTTCAGAATATAAGTTAGATACTTCAGCTGGAGTAAATTATTATAACACAAAAGAAATTAAAGGCGCTATGCTGAGTAATACTTACTTAGGTAGATAGCCTCATATGTTTTTAAAGGACAAAGACCCCTGTGTATGAAGGTACAAAAGCACCCAATGCCTCTTTAGTCCTATATGAATCAATAGGACTAAATTCCTTCATCTGCAGCACTAACCTGATGGAGAAATCTCTTGTCTACAAACACATTTGACATTCATACGCATAATGTATACCATCATAGCGTATTTCTTAGAATGTTAAACAGAAATATAGTACTGCTTGATTTTGGAGTTGTTTTTTTTTCTTTCCCTCTTTTTGGAGTATTTTTGCCATTTACTCTTGTAAATTATTTTGTCTTTGCTAATTCAGTAGTTACTGTTTGTTTCTTGCTACAATCATTAAAATAGAAGGCAGGGCAGGGTAGCTAACTCATTCAGAAAGGCACATGTTTTTGTAGGCTACAGCCTGCTTTGTTGGATACTATGAATGACAGACAAATAGAAAATTTTTGGTTTTGCTGTTTTCTTTTGCTGTTACTGACCTCCCTGAAAGATTCTTTAGCCAGTTGGCCACCTAAGGTATTGCTGTAAGCCAAACTACAGTTCAACGCAGTGTCAGGACAGAGTGTTTAACTATAGGACCTACAACTGTTAACCAGACCTGCTGACCTGGACTGCTGAGTGAATAGTAGCTTGTAATTAAGTTTTATAATCTTTATCTCTTTGGTGTTAAATAAGGTGGCTCCCAAAGAAAAGGAAATGGACATTGTGACTCAAATGGTCCCTGAATTCTTTTTTGCTACAGTTTGTGAATTACATTCTGTTTTGTTACCATCCATTGGTGTAAAGCAAGAGAAATTCCACTGAATTGACTGTCCAGTGACCAATATAAGTGAAGCCAATAATTAAATTTAGAGCTTGACTCTACAATATATCTTTTAAAACCAGAATGTGCAAAAATACTACTTATATACAATCATGAATTATTTTGACATTCATTTTAAGGTGCTTCAAAAAGGGCATCATATATGCAAATACAAAACCAAACCAAAAGGTAGTAGTAAATCAAATTAAAATACTTGCCACTAGTATAGAAATAATCTTTAATCAGAAGATCTCAAAGTGATTTCACAAATGTTCAATAATTAAGGTACAAAACATTCCTATAAGATGCCTCATTTAAAGTTGAGCTGTATGCAAAAGTGCACCAATGGCATTATATGCATGCTGAAAAACTACACCGTTCAAAATCAGAAGCATATTAGTCCTAGCTCAAAATGTAAGGGGGAATATTCAGGTAACCAGAAACTAGCTACCTGAGCTTTAATTTGCCAAGAAAATAGTCTTTACATCACTGCATTTGAAGAAAGTGTTATGAAACTAAAACACTGCCTGTTCCAAAGACAGTGTATAGCAGTGGAGGAGTCAAAAACCTGGGTTTATGTCCTGTGACTCTTAACCAGTCACTTAACCTCTGTGTCTCTGTTTCTCTACCTGTAATATGGAGGTAATCCTCTTTGCTAAACTCTTTGAGGTCCACAAACAAAAAGCATCAAAATGAGTTCTATAAAAATATAATAATTATGATGCTGATTTTATAACCATATTCACAAGGCAGAATTTAATACCCTAGATAATCACAGCTAGGTGTTCAGGTATCTCCCACTATAAAAGTACAATGAAAAAAAAACAGTAGAAAGATTGGGCCAAACTTATCCTCTGTGAAAGCCCTTTTAATTAAGGTATGAATTTGGCTTATTAAGGTTTTCAAATCACTGTGTCAGAGTATACAGAGCAATTTCTTTGTTCAAAGGATATTCCTGTAACTTGCAAAAAATGTCATTAATGTGCACTTGTAAAAATGCAGAAAGAACACATAAGTAGACTCCACAGGAATAAAGCACTTTTGAGTCTCTGTTGGGTAATAATGAGAAAGGTGCTCTATAAATTTGGTCACACTTTGATCATTAAAGCTACAAGTGCTTCCCAAACAAACTGGTCATTGTAAATTGCATACAGAACATCTAGTGGCCAATTCAGATAGTCCTCTTAACAGAGACCTTTAATGTAATATTTCCCTCAGTTTAACCCCTTTTATCCTACCCTTTTTCCCAAGAGGCTCCTTAGTACCCAAGCAATAACTAGCCACCGGCAATAATTCCACTGCAGATTTCTCAACAGAAGGGCCATGTATCTATCAGTTTGATATATTGTCTCTAAGATGCAATGTTGCTCAAAAAGCTCCCTTCAAGCTTTAATATGACCCTCAGGGGGCAACCACTCCACTTGCAACCTACTGAATCAACATCCTGTCCAGTAAATCCTAACTTAGCCTGGTAAAAAGTCATGCTTCATCTACAAAGAGTACAAGGGCTAAAAAAAATCTTTAATTACACTCCTACCTTAACTTTTATATCATGAAAACAAGTGGGGTGCATCCAGATGAGCATGCATGTGCAGTTTGCTGGGCTGCAGACCCAACTGCGGTACTGCAAACCACATGCACTGCACATGCAAGCATTTGCCACACTGCTAATTTGCCAGAGATCCCAGTGTCAAAAAAACCTGCTGCAGAAAAAAGTGGGGTGGCACATGTGGGGACAGGGTGTGCCACCTGAAACCAGAGCCTGGCCAGCCACAGCCACACTTTGGCTGCTAGCCTGGCTCCACGTGCTCAGATTGCCTCCAATGCAGCCCCAGGAGGCTCCCAGGGCCTCAGGTAAGGCTGCTGGGGCCAGCCTAGGTGTTGGCCCGAGCCTCCTCTACCCCACCCGGGGCAAATTCCAATGCACCAGAGCATGCATGTATGGGCATTCCCTAGGGACAAGTAGCAGTGGCACAACTATATGCCGCTGTTAGTTGTCCCTGGGGAAGCACATGTGCACACTTGTCTGGTCACGCCCATGGGTATGGACTTAAGTATGACAAACTACTTAAAGTGGCAACAAGACTTTGTGTGCAAGGCAATAAGGTATGGGAGGAGCATCAGAAGAGGAGTTATATTCCCAGCTTTGACACTGACTTGCTAACCAATTTTTGTAAAGAATCATAACTCCCCCATGATATGTTTCCTCATCCAACAAAATGGATGCAATCATCTCAGAAAGCACATGGAAAGCTGAGGGTGAAAAAACACCATATATGTAGTAGGTATACTGTAAAGGCCTAATCCTATTTCACCTTCACGTGCTTAAATGGCACTTCTGTGATAGTATCAGTGCAATTTTTGGTTTTGTTTCTGTGGTTTTTAGGTTCTACTTTTACCTGCAGTGAAATAGGACCACACAAGTAACTGAACTTGCCTGAAGTAAAGCAGAGGAAGAAGCAGGCCTCCCTTCTGCTGCAGTTCTTCAGCAAAAGGGGTGTGACAGGACCCCGCCCAGCTTACCTCAGCACCGCAGCTCAGGTGGCTGCACCACAATTGGTACAGCTGGTGCTCCGTGGCTGGAAGACCCACTCTATACTGGTGTGGGGCCTACAGGCCACGTTTTTAAAAGTGGCCTAGAGGCTGGGAGGAAGGTGAGAAGTATATGGATGCTGGAGACATTAGCTGGACACCCCTCGCCCCTGCCCCTGGAAGTAATCCAATGCTTCCCCTGCCAGCCAGTGAGCCCAGGGAAGCAGCTTCAGCCAGAAGGCAGCCAGGACAGGTGAGTGAACACACCCCAGCCAGGAGGCAGACCCAGGCACAGCTCCAGCAGCCAGCTCAAGGCCAGGTCCATGGGTCAGGAATGAGTCAACTTGACTGAGCCAGTGAGATCTGCCAGCCCACAGAGTGTCAAAAGGCCTGGAGGCAATACTACACCTCTTGACCTTGCTTACAGACAGCCTGACATGCCAGCAAGCTCACCCACAAGCTCACCTGCAAAGATTGCCCAGAGCATCAAAGGTTAGATGGGGATGGGACAGTGCAGTCCAGTGGGTCAGGTGGACACCCAACAAGGGTGAACCCTGGAGGGATGGCCCACAAAGCCCACACATCCCTGCAGTGTGGCACGCTGATGGGGGACAGCTGTGACATTCAGCCCTGAGTGAGCACAGCAGGGAACACACTGAGGCCCTGGAACACTTGGCCAACCAGCCAATTGGGAAGAACCTGAGGAAAAAGGGTCAAGTAGCCCACAGGGGAAGCAGGGTTGGGGAAGCAGACCCTGGATCCCTGGTGCTCAAGATTGAGCAGCTCAGCACAGAGACAACAGTGCCCACCAGACTAAGCTACATTAAGTTTTTGTGTCAGCATTTTTTTCCTGGAGAGTGGCAGGACTGTGGCAGCTGTGCTCCAGCAAGCCACCTGCAACTACATCAAGCCATGGCCTGGATCTACTGTAACACCCCAGTGGAAAGGGGTGGGGTATAGAAGAGGAGAAGCCCCACCGAAGATGCACCAATGAGGGAGTTCCTGAGCCAGTTAGGAACCACTGAGCAACACCCCAGAGCTACTGGG